CACAAAAGGAATTTACCACTATAAAAGTGGGGGTTGGCATGTGTTTTTTGTGGATTATGTTATACACATGTACATAAAAATATACATTAGCATTTACATAAGCATAATGTCACATACATAAACAAAGTAGAACATACATAAATACAATATTCATAAATTCATTAACATAAACGTTACATTTACATAAACATACATAAACAGAATCACAGTAACATAAACGTTACCGTAATAACATAAACATAGCCACATACACATAATAACACAATCATAATGTCATACACATCCATAAACATAATAACACAATCATGGTACATAAACATCCCGCCGGACCGGAAACCGTGCCCATAAAACGCACGTTTTTTTTTAAATGGTGATTTTACCACAGTGCCATGCTGATTTGATGATTGGAAATCCTGGAAAAACTTGGGGCGCGTTTTTTTGGCTTTTCAGCGTCATCGCTGCAACGCATGCACCGTTATCAGCTGGCAGTCAGCATTCTTGCAAATGCATCTCCATTGCATTACTGTGAATATTAGAATCCCCAATATGTCAGAAACCCAAATAATGCATGCCAGGCCCCTGAGTCGCGAACCTGCAGCACACAGAATGAGCAACCCAGCAAGACATTATTCACATATATGCTATCATCAAAAGTCATCAAAATGTGATTGTGTAAGCGGACCGAAAACCTATGCGTCACTACCGCACCCAAACCCATACGCAGCGTAGCAACATGTAACCTAGTAAACGATCCCAAAGATCTCAGCAGCGCAGCTACATGTCACGTAGTAAACGATCCCAGAGATCTCAGCAGCGTAGCAACATGTAACGTAGTAAACGATCCCAGAGATCTCAGCAGCGTAGCTGCATGTAACGTAGTAAACGATCCCAGAGACCTCAGCAGCGTAGCAACATGTCACGTAGTAAACGATCCCAGAGATCTCAGCAGCGTAGCAACATGTCACGTAGTAAACGATCCCAAGATCTCAGCAGCATGGCCATATATCATGTACGAAGTACAAGGAACGTTAACATGCCCCCCCACCCCACCCCACCCCACCACACAATCGCGATATTCAAAAACGTGCGTTTTACGGGAACGGTTTTCGGTCCGCAGGCATTAGCATCCATAAGCATTATATCATAAATTTTTACATGAACATTATCATCAACAGTAACATACTCGTAATAGCATATCTACTTTTCAGAGAAATTTGGCGCATTGCACCTGGCCACAAGGTCTTGGACCTGGCGACGCTGTGCCAAGACCCCGAGGAAACCCTGGGCCTTGTGTTTCCACACCAGGGTGGTTCATTTTGCAGTGGACCAATCAACAGGGAGAACGCGTATAATATATATATATATATACATTACATACATGTATATATATATATATACATGTATATACATATATATATATATATGTTATATTTATAATATTATATAATATTATATAATATATATAATATTATAATATATTATATATACATGTATGTATACATAATGTGTAGAGATTGAAACCCAACAGTCACTGCTGCTGGGAACAACAGATGCGGGGGTGTAGCGGCGCAAACAGCAATTCAAGAAAGAAATGCGCATAGACGCATAGAACCAACAACCATGATGTTTTTCCGCGCCACAAACCTGTGAACAAACAACAGAAAACATGGTGATAGAAGCAACAAGAAAAAGGAAAACTGCCAGTCATGAGAACGCAATCTATGTTGAGCAGTGGGATTGACACTCATATCCCCAGAATTGGACACACTCACATCAATTTAAGGATTGAAGGACCTGAGGTCACTCAGGGAAGCGGGATGATCAGGGATACCAAATAACTCAAAACACATTTCAAGCATAGCTGGGTGAATGATAACAACCTTGCCACGATATCACGATCCACCATGAAACATGGCTATGCTTTCTTAGCGTGGAAGTTGTCTCCTCGGTCTGGCCCCTGTCTTTGCCCCATTGGACATACCAAACTGTGGTTGCCAGTATCGAACTTTGGTTTGCTATTTAGAACCCATCCACATTTGTGCTGGCGAAAAATCTCCATGATTGCTGGTTAAATCGAACATCCACATTTTTTTGTTTTGTCAATTGCATATGCTACATCCCCTTTTTGTTCCTTAAATCCACAGTCTAAGATGTGTTTGTTTGAAGGGTATGTAAGCCACAAATCCGGTGGATCATCGAAACTGTCCCCTTTATATACAGTAATTGGCTGTAAATTGCGATATCGGCCATTTGCGAACACACGTGGAACGTGTATTTGATGTGTATTTCCAAAAGAGGGGAGACATCCCATGCTCAGGACTTTGCCAATCCCTTGGAGCTCAGCACAATCGGAGGCTGGATCCAACCTCAGCTATAAGTCGCAAGACTTCGATGCCGCCCGTTGCACTGGATGATGATCCCCATTGACGATCATGTTTTTCAGGGTTGAAACCGCCAACTACAGATACATCCACTATAAATCATAGCAACCCCAGTTGACAAAGTTGTTTCTGGTCAAAAAGCAACATGAGTTTCCCAAAGAAACCAACGCCCTTGTGACGGCCGTAGGCCGAAAAGTGGTCTACAACGTGGTGCAGTTTGTGAGGGATCATCCACCTTCAGCGCGACCCAGGTGTACGGGGTTTGACCTTCAAAAATGGTGGAGATATAGGGGTGTCCATAAATGAGGGTACCCAAAATTGATAATAGAAAATCATACTAAAATGATTCTAAAATGGATGATTTGGGGGTACCCCCATTTCAGGAAACCTCCAAAAAATGGCTTTGAATGGTTGAATCATCATTGGGATGATATAGCCAATATAAATAAATGTTCAATACCATCTCCCCCAAATGAAGAGTAATCCACTACCTGCCAATTTCGATGAATTTCGTACAGAATCAGCTCTCCATTTCTTTTTGGGACCCGCCAAAAAAAAAGGGGTTGGCTCAAAAACCATGTGTCGGGGGATCCCGTAGCATGTTGACTCGGTTTATAACTTATAACTCGGGTTTAAGGTACTGGTAGATATTTATAGGTGACGTGGTAAACATTTAGACCAACAAACATCACTGTGGGCAGCAAAAAAAAAGTACCAAGATGGATCGTGATCCTCCAATCTCTGCAGGCCCAGTCAGAAGGACAAAGCAACTCCATGGTTGCTGGATGTGGGGATTCCCAGATCCTGAGGGTTAGGGGGTTTCCAAAATGGGTACCCCTAAAAATGAATGGTTCATGTTGTGGAAAATCATATTAAAATTTGGATGATTTGGGAGATACCCATTTATGGAAACCTCCATTTGTTGCTTTGTAAACCCATCCAAGTACACATACTCTGGTTGGTGGTTTGGAACATGTTTTATATTTCCATATGTTGGGAATAATCATCCGAACTGACTGACTAATATTTTTCAGAGGGGTTGAAACCACCAACCAGTACTGCTTGGTGCTTTGAAATATATGTTATCGTCATCGTCCATCCTACCTTGAACGATGATCCCCCTTGATGATATTTGTTGATTTGAAATCCCATTTACGATCACATTTGTTTCGGGGAAATTAAACTCACCACAGATAACTACGTACAGATCACTGAGATATATCCAGTATCTTACAAACCGCATCCCTGACCTAGTTCTTAGCCAACTTTCCTTTTTGGAGTTTCCGGGCTCCCTTTGGGGATCAACACTAAACGGTATACCAAACTGTTGGGGTATCGTGACCATTAGATGCCATACTTGTAGGTGAAAATACAAGGAACAAATCACTGTAACTGAGTGGGCCATTCAAATAAAATCAAATAAATATATCAATCATAGCCCTATCCATACTATGATGGGTTGTAAGAATCCCTAAGAATTCAGGTAGTATAATTTCCTTTTGATGATCAGACCATTTTTTCCCATGTTATTTTTGATAGCTCAACAACGTAGTTTCTGAGGTATCCTTTTCGCGGGATGATCTGAGATAAAACTTGTGGCGCAAAAAGCGCAAGTTGAAATGCCACAAACATCGCAGGTTATGGGCTTCAACACCGAGTACGGGCCCAAACTCTGCGAAGGGCGGATGTGGGCTTTGTGGGCGGAAGGAAAGTCCAATATCAAATGGGTGAAAATTGGAGATTTTTCTCATACATTACATATGGGGAATCTGAATGGGGTTGATCATCGAGTTGATACTGGGATACAAAAAAACAACTGAATTGATGGGATACACCGATCGATTGTGGGGTGCCCTATTTACCCGATTTTCAGACAAGGACATATGAGAAGTTGGAAAAAAAAAGGGGCCATTGCAATGGCACACATGCGCCACTCATTCGCCAATGCCTAGAAATGTCCAATAGGTGTGTGTGAGTGTGTGAGTCAGCAGTGTGTGTGAATCATTTATGTGTGTGTGTGTGTTTGCCCCCTCCAAAAAAAGGTATTCCCCAAATGCACTGGTTTCGGCGATGAAGCCGGAAGTGCAAAGCCTGATGTTGGCGCCAATGTTGGCGTGTCGTCAACTTGTTTCAGGGATGTTCTGTATTTCCTTTATGCCCTGACTTTATACATGTATATATATATATATATATTACTGTACATTACTGTACATATATAATACTATGTATATATATATAAAATTATATATAATAATCATCATCATAATAATAAGAATAATGAATAATAATAATACATGTATCTATTTACATCTATTTACATGTCCATATATCATTCCAGGTTTCACATGCTTTTGATTTCCTCAAAAAAACGCAGCTGATTTTCTGCTGAGAAACTCATTTTGCTGGGTCCTGGGTGCGTCAACCACCAACCAGTTATGGCGCTGCAGCTTTTTTAAAGCTCATTTTTTACGCAACAGAAGTCAGTCCAAGTTGTTAGAGATGTCACTATGACGCTTTTGCAGCCCTCAAACGGCCCAAGGGCACCACTCAGAACGGCAGTTGAGGGACCGTTGAACGCAGCACTCAGCCATTCTATGCCAGTCTTTCATATATTTTTTCGACACCCTGCAACTCCTACAGAGCAGGAAGGCACCGCCCCAAGGCGACTCTTTAGGGTCGATCCCTCGTGGAAAGTGGGTGGCGTCACGTATGTTTGGTTTGGACAATGTGGGACCATAGTGAGCAGAATTTTTACCAAGTAATTCCATCATATTCATCCTCCTAATATCAAATATCTCCAAACGAAAGCCTGGTGAAATGTATGAAGGAGTACTCTGATTTTTGGGGGTCCCGGACTGTCAGATTGCATGGCGGTCAGGGTAGCTACTGTATGACATGTACTGGGTGGATCCCTGAAGTTAATTGGTTTGCAAGTGTGATTACATGGTTGAAAGATGTTTTCAGAATTGAAACAGGGCTCTTATACCGGAGATTATTTTGGGATAGGCCTCACTTACAAACAGCTACCAAACATTTTGTTGGTGTTTGTTTTTTGCATCAAGGATTAAACATCCCCGGACTTCACCGTCGGTGACAGAACCCACCTGGCCAACCGTTGTGTTCCATTCTTTCCCTACGGGAACGTGCCCCCTTATCCGATTGCTTTATGGCTAACGATTTGGATTTATGGTGGACATATCAATAGTTCGATGATGTTTTTTTTAATGGTTTACAAACGAACTTACAACTGGGGGGCCCTTCCTGTTGTTCATTTCCACTTGTTTCCTTCGCATTTTCAGCCCCCCGGCCCCAGATCCTTTCAGCAGGGCCAAAAGATGGGGCGCCTTAAGCAGAAACCTGCAGCCTGGCCCTCAGTGGTGAAGAAGCCAGTTGGGGTTGTCCATGGGGGAGTTAGCCCCAATGAACCAACGAAAAATTGGGGGTTATCACCAACCACAATGGTAAATAATCGGATATATACGCATCATTTACGCATCAATACGATGTGTTCGGTGCGTTTGAACATAAGGTATGCCGTTATATGGTATACCCCCAATTTATCCCAATGTCAATAGCGAATGTGATGATGAACAAGTGGATTTTGCGATAGCCTATTTCTGGACAAACCCCTTTAGCGACTGCAAAAAGGATAGAACAGCTATATTAATCCTACTAAAGTTACTAAAGTATATAGTATATAGTGGTAAATGTAATGCATTTTACTGGAGGGTTACCATGCATAAGTGGTGTCTTTCCCAGTTATGAATGGTTTATGACGATGATTCACCACATACTCAAGGGGCCAGGGTTGCTCCAGCCGCCATTCTGTGGATCCATGAAATTGGGAATATGTTTCTGTCAAGTTGAAATTTAATAGGACGTACCCTCTGGTAATTGAACGTAGCTATTGAAAATGGCCATTAATAGTTGATTTTCCCATTAAAAATGGTGATTTTCCATAGCTATGTTAGTTTACCAGAGGGTAGACATTTAATTTAATGACATTTAAATCCCAGTTTTGGTCGATCATAGACCAAGCTCTTTTTTGTGAATGATAGCCACAAGGGGTGGGAAATTGGAAATAGAAAACCTTTCTATCTAGTCATTTTACCATCCTTGTATCTGGGGTGTTAGGAGCAACCTGTGTAACCATCGTTTAGGAAATCGCATGAGTATGTGGAGATGGGTGTGTCTACAGTGAGTCTACAGTCTACAGAGCATTTGGATGAGGATTTGACCGTCAAGAATTCCATTTTCTGTTCAAGCAACCATGAATGGACATACAGTGAATAGAATTGGGTAAACTGGACTGGTGAATTTTTGGTGAATGATTTGAATGATTCAATGATGAAGGATGAAGGATGAAGGTTATAGTTATTTATAATTCAAAAGTACATTTTTAATGGTGAAATCACCATTCAATCACAATTTATTGTAGGTTAAAACCCAATGTTATTTGGGCAGTTGGTCCTCAGCTTTGCCATGGAAGTGGTCAAACATGATCACTTCCGTGGCTGGAAGATCTCCATCGAAAACGGAGGTTTTAATGAGAAAATCATCTATCCTGGTTGGTGGTTTGGAACATGGCTTTTATATTGCTTTTATGACTTTCCACATATTGGGAATAGTAATCCCAACTGACAAACTCATATTTTTCAGAGGGTTAGGTCAACCACCAACCAGTATCAATTTTGGATTTCCAAAGGTACTATATAGTATCAATTGTTTCTTGTAGTACCAGCGATTCTGTGAATTCTACCAGCGCTTTGTGATCTCAGGCATGTTCCTTTAAAGGCTGCTGTCATGTCAAGCAGCGGGTCTCGGTGAAATCCCGCCACTCAGGGCCGCTGGTCACGGGGTGGTCTCTTGCAGATTGGGCTTGGCTTGGCGTAGCGTGGCTGCAAGATTCATCCAGACATCTGCAGATTCATGGAGACATATATAGTGTAAACACAAGGAATACATCATGGACCATTATGTAGTAGATGCAGGGCTTGCACTGTGAGGATGAGTTGGTTATGATTTGACTATCTATATATAGAATCTCTAGATATATATATATACATACATACATATAGTATATATTCGTATATATTTTATTTATATAATTATGTATTATTATTACGAATAATAATTATTATCATGTATATTATATATATATACACAACCAGCACTTGGAGGATGATGTCCATGAATTGTGGAGCAAATCATCTATCAAGTCGGGTATCAGGACTTGACCCATAGCCATAGTTAATGGTGTTTACAAACCAGCTCAAAAAACCGAGGGATGGCCCACCTTGAAAATATCAAATATTTAGAAAAGTTGTAAACGTTGAAATGCTCAATAAAAATCCATAGATAATCCCCAATCGCCAGTTTTGGTGCTCCATATTATGGATTTTCTATGGATTTTCCATGGATTTTCTATGAATTTTCTATGGGTTTTCTATGAAATTTCCATGGATTTTCTATGTGTGCAAGGCAGAGCAGCGCGCCTTTTGATCCTAAAAGAGCCTTCCAGTCGGAAGTAAGTTGTTGTCAGCAGTTGTCAACTGATATGAACAGATACTACACTGCATGTCCCTTTGCACTCCCCCCACGACCTTGTCGTGTAGAAAAGGGTTGAGTCTGCCCAGGGCTCAAGGCTCTAAAAGAAATTGGATTTGCCAGTGACGCCAGGTTGTTGTTAGGCCCCACTGGTCTTAAAGAGTGAAAAACTACAGTGCGTAAAGACTCGCACCTTTTGGAATCAACCTCGGCACGTAAAGACTCATGCCTCAGCTGACTTGTTGGCAGTAAAGACCCTGCCAAAGAAAAATTGTCCGGCCCTCAAAAGAGCATCTTTTCAAAATTGCGCTCCACCTGGATCATGCCGTAGAGCTCGAAGTCACTGACAGGGCCGGTGAATCGGATCTCACCGTAACCCTATCGGCAGCCTCTTCACGGCGCTCCACATAAACATTTGTGGAACTCGCTGCAGCTTTCGATGTTGTCGTTGGCGGACGCAACACCGGTCGCAGACCCAAGTCTGCTGCAGCTTTGGCTGGTTGAACTCCTCGTTCTGCTCGAAGTTCGCCAGTCATCCGCAACATATGGGACAACGTCGCCCTCTGACCAGGGTTTCCCATCATCTGCTGTTGTGGTGGCTGCAGACTGCCACCTTGATCACCACCATATCCTGCCGGACCTTGTGGTCTTTGCTGCATCGGCGCAGCCATTGGTGGTTGCCCTTGTAGAGGTCCAGGCACATAGTTCGGAGCTGCCCTCGCCATCGCCTTGGCCGGAGGTGGACCCATTGGAGGTGGTCCCGCTCTCATTTGAGGTGGTGGACCCGCTGGTGGTGGACCTGGCATTGCATGTTGTACTGGAACTGCTGGTGGTTTGGCCATGCGGTTCATCCACTCCTGCATGTTCTGTCGTTGAAACCAAGCCTGAGGTGGCGGTTTCTTTCCAGGTTGAACCATCCCGTGCTCAAACGGAACCCCTGGGTCAGCCTCCTCCTCTGTGCTTTCTCTGGTCAGCCCATTCTTCGGCACAGCCACCACATTTCCTTGGAGCGCAAGCGAATGCGTCACCCCAGGAACCACTGGCCGGCGAAGCATCAAGCCCACCTGCACAAAGTCCATCTCCACCTGCAAGCCATTGAGCACGCCATATCTGTAGGTCTGCATGGATCCAACCCAACTGGTCTGATCCCACTGGACCCAACGTCCATACGTCAAAGGAATGGTCTGGCCCTGCATCAGCGCTGTCATCACCTGCTGTACATGCTGCGCTGGCGGTGCTGATGCCATGCCAAAACTTGCCTTTGCCCGCATCTGTTGCCCCAAACTTCCTGGGACCATCGGCGCCATCTCATGCTCCGGGTCGTTGCGCACCACCCTTGAAGGGCGCGCATTTCCAACCTCTGTGTCCTGCTCCACATTGACCTCTTCTTCAACGTTCTCTGGCTCTGCGTTGACCTCTTCCTCAACATTCGCTGGGTCACCCGCAGTGGTCGAAGTGATTGCCACCTCGGTTGCTGTGGTAGCTGCTGGTGGGTCTGTTGCAGGCCCTTCGGCTCCACCATCATCACCTCCACCATCATCGCCATCACCCTCGTCCTCTTCAAGGATGACCTCCATGTCATTCTCAGAGGCCTCTTCCTCCGCAGTCTCGCTGCCATCTTCATGCAAACCATCTGCCACAGGCTCCAAGGCTTCACTGCCCTTTGCCTTGCCCTTCGCTGCGTAGTGGGCCTGCAGCTCACCAGCGGTGGCCGGTTTGCCCTTTCCAAGTCGTGCGACAGAGGTCCGACTTCTGCCGCTGCTCTTGCCAGCTTGGCCTGGGGTGGTGCCGCTTTCCGTCATCTCCTGAACATCCGCGGCGTAGTCCACCGCCGCTGTAGCTGCCTCCACCGCCAGAGCCACCTCATTGGAGTCCTCGCTGGTGACATTCACCTGGTCGGCTGTGCGCAAGGCCTGGACCGCCTTCGCATTGGCTGTCGCCAGGAGGATGCTGCGCCTCTGCTCGGCCGGTGTGTCGCCACGCCCCATCAGCACTGGAGCTGCCTGCGCTGAGCCTTTTCCTCCTTGGTCATGTGTGAAGAGCTGGCGGGGTCGACAGCCCTTGGCGAAGATCCTTTGCCAGGACAGGTTTGGACTGAGCGCCCCATGGATGATCGTTGACCCATCCTTGCCAGTCTCCACGTCCTGCTTGGTGCCCCTGCCACGTCCCCTAAACCAGTATCCAGGGGGTCGCGCCCAAGCCATTCTTTGCCTCTTGACGTCCAGGGTTGTGCATGTCCTGCGTGGACGTTCTTCTTCATCTTCATCTTCATCATCCGCTGGAGGGTCCGGCCCATTGTCTCGTTCTGGTTCACGTCGATTTCGACGATCTCGGCCAGGATCATCTCCATCTCCACCTGGTGGGGGCATAGCCATTGCACCGTGCTTGCCCTCCAACTGCACTTGCCTTTCAGTCTGTGGGGGCTGCTCCTCATCCACAGCCTCTGAAACCAACTCATAGCTCCCATCAGACTGCGTTTCATCCACCTGCTGCGCTGGTGGTCTTGGAGGTCGCTCTTGTGGTTCTGGTTCTCGAAGACGTGGATCGTAGTTGCGGATCGGCACGTACTCAAACCCAAAGCGACTGCCCCTCATCACTCTTGTTCCCATTGCTGCTTGTCCACGTTGTTGAACTGGTCCAAGCGGTTGGGGTTCTGTTCCAGCCCAAATGGCTGAAGTTGTAGGGCTCATCATTGCTACCCTACCACGTTCAGACACCTTGCCAGTACCCTTTCCTTTTTGGTCAAGCTGACCATCCATCTGGCCTTGTTGGCCCTTGTTGTGGCCTCCTTGGCCTTTTCCATAGCCATGCTGGCCATCATCCTGGCCACTGTGGCCTTTTCCCTTGGTTGCCCTCGAAGCCGGCAGTGAAGAAGTTCCTGTTGCCGAACTCCCTGACGACCTCGCCGTGCTCTCCATGGCGTGTCGCCCGGCACCCAAAACCTCAGTTGGCGGCTCGAGCCCAAGGTCCTCAACAGAGAAGTCCTCAATCGGATCTCCTTCAAGTCCATGCCATTGCTCAGCACGACCAACCAAGTTGCAGTTGAAACCATGCCCATCCCCTTGGCGCCTCTTCGAAAGACCTTGTTGTTGACGTCTCTTCCCATGGCTGACTTTGAGCGCCCGAAGTTGCGGCCCGTGGCAGCCCGAAGGGCAGTTGTCAAGGTTTTGAGATGATCTTTGTGGGGAGGAAACTTGATCCCTTTGAGGATAGTACTCAGCACTAAGACTACGCTCCATGTTCGAAACCCTAAGGTTTCTTTTCCCCTCCACATCGATCATCCCTTTTGGGGAAGGTTGCATGGCCTCCTTTTGGCTCTTGTTGGGCGGTTCATTTTCCCTGCCCTCTTCTTGCATGGTGGGTTCATTTGGGGCCCTCACCATGGTTTTCATCAACCTACGGGGTGGTTCATCTTCCCTACCCTCATGTCTCAACGCCGGTTCATTTGGTGCCCTGACGTTGGCCTCTTCCATGTCAGTTGGTTCATTTTCCCTAACTGACCATGGTGGGGAAGGTTCATTTTCCCTTTCCCTCTTTTTCATCATCCAACATGCAGCAACGATGAGGCCCAGACCAGTTTCTTGACACTGAGAGTCATCTGTCTCCATCAGCGTCTGGCCAGTTGAGAGAAGCCTCACTACTATCTCTTCCTCAGCTCTCAGCTCATCTTCCGCACGTCGCAGATCGTTGAGATCGTCCAGGTAGATGGAGTCCACAAAGTTGTCCATCTTTGGTCCTTGAAGCGGTTTCGTCGCTCCATCAGCTGGAAGCACCAAACCACTGACATGCCTCGCACACCATCGCGAGAGCTCATCCTGAAACGCTTCTCGAAGTCGAGCATACCTGATCCTCAGATGTCTTGTTCTCCAACTACCCGTGTCATTGGTGCACAAGTGGAGTGCACTTTTGGAATCGCAGTTGAGGGTCTTGTTGATGTCCCCAACGCCCATCACCTCCAGGAGTGCTGCAAGGCTTTCTCCACACTGGAAACCTTCTCCACAGCTCACCAGTTCGCTTTCGGCTGTTGAAGTGGTAACAAACGGCTGTCTGCCACTTGCCCATGCGATGGGAGAACCCCCAACACATAGTATCACCCCAGTCACCGACTTGTAGTTCTCATGCTCCAGGGCGTGCGAAGCATCCACAAACACCTCCAAGTTGTTGATCGACACCTGCGTGGCCAGCTCATCATTGCGACCATATGGTTTTTGTGCTGAGGTCTTCATGTAGTGCAAACCCTTTGAACTTGTCGCACTCAAATACCTCAGTAACTCATCTCCAAGCTTGACCACATGTCTTGCTCGTCGGTGCGCAAGACGTGCCATGACACCAACATGATACA